GCCCTCTGTGGCCCTAAGTTAAAAACTGTTGTACTTTTGAGGCCCTCAAGGTGGCGCTCAGGGCCCACAATTGGGCCGCGACCCATGTGTTGAAAATCTCTGCTCTAGTTCACATTTTTGCTTTGGATTCATTTTCAAACAGTCTTGATTCAGGAAAAAATAATTCCTGCTTTCATTCCTGAAACTGTATTTTAAAATGTTTTTTTATTTGCCTATGGCCCCAAATAAACTATTCAATCAGAATTTACCTTTAACTCTTGATTTCTGTCTCTGTAGTTCTCCTTTTTGCTGTTCCTTCTTAAGGGTCGCCACAATGAGTCATCATCCACCATGACATGCTGTCCTCAATCCAGTTACCTACATGTTCACTCTGACCATATACAATGTACGTATCTCCTCTGTCTTTTTCGTGGCAGCTGCATCTCTCACATTCTTCTTCTAATAGATCTACTGTTCCTCTTCTGCACACGTCCAAACCATTTCAATCTGGCCTCTTTGACTGTTTATCTCCCGGTCACTCAACCCTTGTTGTACCTCTGATGATCTCAGTCCTAATCTTATACATTCTTGTCACTCCCAAGAAGAACCCTAGTCTTCATCTCTGACACTTCYAGTTGTCTTCTGTCTTACAAACACGTGTAAATAACTCAAACCACTGAGCAGGGGCGGAGCCAGGGGGTGGCCAGGGGTGGCCCTGGTCACCATAGACAACCCCTTCCACAGTGAAACAACCTGTAGGGGTGTAATAACCCTCCTGAAAAGTTGGTGGCAGTGTTTAACACTTTGAAACATCACCAAGCTCTATCACTGAAGAAGAGTAATGACAAGTGATCGTTTTCTTTATATACAGAACCCATGCCTGTAATCTGACTTATGGTGTMAACTTTTGGACTTATGGTGACAAATGTTTGGTTTTTTTTGCCACCATAACACAGTGTCATTTTATGTTCTGAAGGCTGCATGATGCTCTGTGTTTATTGTGAGTAGGTCCATCACTAAATCAGAAAAAGTGAAACACCCCTCTAAATTAACTAAATTCATTGGGTAAAATGTATGTTAGTTTTAAACATGATGTTGAGGGCCATCATTATTCGGCAAAATGGCATGTTTTACAATTAAAATTAAATCAATAAACAATATAAAATTAAAAAGCACCCCTAAAATTGGATGTGATAAATTGTGACACATTAATTAATTTTATCTCAGATATATCAATGAGTTTAAAAACAGGATAATTGAACTAGTTTAATGAAGAATCTTGTCTCTGAAATAATTAAATCAAGTGTTAGTTTAAGTCGGTAAAAGTATGTTTAACAACCTGGTAAAATACACCAGAATGCAGGAAATGGCATCTATTTTATCAAAAATTTCTGGGGGAGGACCCCCAGACCCCCCACCAGTGTGTCCCCCCACTTTTAAAATGGTCCTGATGCCTATGTTTATAAGATAGTCACTGCCTGTATAAGGACATAAGGAAATGACCAAAACACAAAGATCTGCAGAAACTTTCAAGTAATAAAATCATGTAATGTTCCTGGCCATCCCTGTGTGAGTAGTGGTCCCAGTTTGGCCACCCCTGTGTGAGTAGTGGTCCCAGTTTGGCCACCCCTGAGAAAAAATGTCTGGCTCCACCACTGCCACTGAGACCTTGACCTTCAACCTCCATGACATCAAACTGAGGATTGATGTAACAAAGATTTTTGAACTTGAACTAATCCTCACTTTGATGTCATGGAGGTTGAAGAAGGTCAAGGTCTCAGTGGTTCGAGTTATTTACACATGTTTGCAAACTAGGGCTGCAACGATTAATCAATTAATTGATGACTAATTTAATAATCGATTAATCGTTTTCTTTTCTTTTTTTGTTCACTTTGTTTTTCTCTCCAAACTGCTTTGACACCTTCCACTGCCACGTCTGCCTTTCTGTCGTTGACACACATGCACAGTAGTGGTAACTGGGGTAGGCCGTGGACGTCACAAGACATTATACAGACAGGCTCTGGTA